AAGCAAAACAAATTGACCGAAGAGTTAACTACGTTCAAAATTGAACGCAGTTTACAGGAACTCTGAATTGAATCACTTTGAGAGAAACAAACATTGGTTCTACATTAAGAAAATATTGCTATAACGCGTGGAAAATTGACAACAGAATTGTTAAATAAATAATTGTTAAATACTCAAACAGTATATGGATGTCTTTAAGATATTCTAAAAACGTTCTGCTTGGATATATAGAATATTCTGTGAATATCCTATTTTGCTTCTCATATTTCTTCAGAACATTGTAAGGAATAGTAAATGAGCGTCTCAGACAGTATATGAAAACATTCTCAGGATACTCTAATTAAAAATTCTAAAAATGTCTGTAGATACTTGTATGATGCTTATATTGTCCGAAAAGTCTTTATGGAGGTTTTCAATATTTTCAAGGACAGGAATTGTTTTGAATCGCCATTATATCTGAATGTTTAGAATCATCTTGCGCATGTTGTGTACTGTTTGAGTAACGATGTATATCGACAAGTATATCTTGCTCATATAACGAATTATTAAGAATTGTTTAGACAATAGATTCGTTATATAATCTCGCGTATGATTATTTTTAACTTACATTAACTATGAGAAATCCTTGTAGACAAAACAATACGCCAAAGAAGAATATCAGACCCAGTAACATCAAATTGAAAGTATCATCGATGATCTGGATGGATCTGCAATAACAAATTCCTTCAAAAACATAATGTAATCTAATACGTGTTTACGATAATAGCTCTCAGACTTAGTTCTTCTAGAACTGAAATATATGAGAAAGGCATAATTATCTATCATCATAATTTATGAGAATTTAATGTTGTCCGGGAAACTTCGTGTTAACAAGTAGATGATAATATGTGAGGCACAGTCGTGTCTCACAAGTCGTCGCCTATTTGTTAACTCAAGATTTACCGGACAGCATTGAGTTGACATGAATTATGATGGTAGTAAATGATTGTGCCTATTATAAATTTCAGATCTATTATATATTTCAGACTTAGAAGAACCAACTTGGAGAGTTTATTTGTTTTCGAAGAATTTTTATACTAATAAATATTGAAGTTTAAGTCGGATTTTGGTCCCGAAAATCAAGACGCGCGCGCGAGTACTAATCTATATTGAAACAAATATACTTTATTTTATTTTAACTTGTTACATTAGTTCAGGATTTTTTCGAAAACGAACAGATCTATTATCATAAACACTCATTGTGTTTAACAGCACTATTATTTAAAAAGATTTTTATTTGGACAGCTTATCTTTTGATGATCTATTTTGAGTACCTGATCAAACGAATGTGATCTTGAATGTTGTATTTCAAAGCTGCATCAAAGTTCGCACATATTTTCATATGTGTCAATCGTGATTGTAGATTCTCCAGCTGACCGCATACGTGCAAAATTAATAATCCGAGAAAGTTGTCGATTGCGGTATAAGAAAGACCTGATGTGAACGTCGCAATTCCTTGCGCTAGAAACGTCAGCTCGTACTGTGGACTTTTGGATACGTCGTGCAAGTAGTACGATTGTATCGGCAAAGGTTTTCCGGGATCGGTTAAGTTCGTAACGTGTCGGATCGTTAGTCCGAACCATGGAAAGACAAAAGTAATAATCATTGTCAAAAGTATTACGAACATTCCGCATATGGTGATTGTACGAGTAATTCTAGCGCGACTCAGCATAACCTTTCGCTCTTCTTTCATCTTCGTTTTGATCCAGTCTTTTACAATCATATCAATCAGTGGTATTAAAACTGTAAGGTGCAATAATGCGTTAGTAGTCCAATATATGACTATTTTCGCGTGTTTTACTAATTGAATAAAAAATTAGACAAAATACTAAGAAAAAGCACTTTACTAAACAATATGTACCTTCTTGTTTATACCAAAGAATAGAGATTTTGAACAAGGTAATCAATAGAGGTAGACTATATTGCAAATTATCTATCATTAGTATCATGTCGCCCCACACTCTTACCAGTGATACCAGAGCCGGTATTGTTAGTACAAAAAGCAATGTGATGAAATTGTACAATAATCGACATTTTGATCGTACGATCTCATGCGCGTCTCGGATGTCTGGCGGCCACAAACCAATGATTTTCAACATGAGCCGATTTAGACCGATCGCCCATTTTAAATCTGTTATTAGAAATTTCTATTTGTGTTCCACATTACGCGTTACAAAAACTATAATTTTATATATTTTATTTATACTGGGCAAAACAAATTTAGACCGAGGGAAGTGTAAAAAATGGGCTACATGAGTATATTTACTAGGTATGTAAATATGAAATCGGAATTTTGATATAGAAAATACACGTTTATTGTATGAAAATGATAAAAAATATTTTATTTGAAGTATTGCCCATCGCTAGCTATACATTTTTCCCACCTGTTTGACAATTTGTGGATGCCACGCCAAAAAAACTGTTGCTCTTTTGAGGCAAACCGGTCATCGAGCCATTTTCATACATTTTCGTAAGAAGTGAAGCGCTGCTTAGCAAGTGCGTGACCCATCGATGCAAATAAATAGTAATCGGATGGAGCCAAGTCTGGTGAGTAAGCCGCATGCGAAAGTATTTCCCAACTAAACGCCTCAATCGTTTCCTTGACAAGTTTTGCTGCATTATCATGAAGCAAAATCACTTTGTGTTGCCTTTTTTTATATTCTGGTCGTTTTTCACGCAAAGCTTGATTCAAATCGATCATTTGTTGTCGGTAGCGTTCAGTATTAACGGTTTGGCCAGGTTTTAGCAGCTCATAATAGATCACACCCTTCTGACCCCATCAAACACAGAGCATTGTCTTCCGTCCATAGCAATTTGGCCTTGCAGTCGATGTCGATGGTTCGCCTGGAGTTACCCATGATCTTTTACGCTTAGGATTCTCAAAATATATCCACTTTTCATCGCCAGTCACAATTCGATGGAGAAATGACTTTCTTTTGTACCTGGCGAGCAGCATTTCGCAAGTGGTTTTTCGGTTTTCCTGCTGTCTTTCATTCAGTTCATGTGGAACCCATTTTCCCATCTTCTGGATCTTTCCCATGGCTTTCAAACGTATGGAGACGGCTTCTCGTGTCACATTTAATTGATCCGCGAGTTGTTGTTGCGTTTGAGTGTCATCCTCATCCAACAATGCTTGCAATTCGCTGTCTTCAAACTTTTTCGGTGGTCTTCCACGTTCTTCGTTTCTCACGTCAAAATCGCCACTTTTGAATTTTTTAAACCACTCAAAGCACTGTGATTTACCAAGAGCATGCTCACCGTAAGCTTCGACAAGCATTCGATGCGATTCTGCAGCAGTTTTCTTCAAATGGTAACAGAAAATCAATGCTGTCCGCAAATCGTAGTTTCCAGGCACAAAATTCGACATGTTCAACGCTATTACAAACTATGCTGTTGTATGAAACTTGTATTGTTGTGAGTTGAAAATCTTTGTCAGAGATGTCAACAAGGAAATGGCGCCAATGACGCGGTTTGACGGTAACTACATTGACAGCTAGGGCCATCTATGGGCAAATTCCGGTTTCATATTTACAGACCTGGTAAGCATTCCTATCTTTTTCAGTAGAAAAATTATGAAGTTAATATAACATTATTCCTTTTTATAAAGTTAGAAAAATATATCTTCAAAGTTAATATTTAATTTTTTCGAATGATTTATTTATATCCACCTCAAATATGATTGTGATTGCACACTTCAAAAACTCAGATAACAGTCAGAAGAAAAGTACATAAAATCATTAATCATGATATACTAATTTTATATATAGAGGTAACTGATTCGCTTATATGTGAATATAAATTTTTGAACTGATTTCGGAAAGGGGTACCATTATATCCGTTTGAACAATCCATGTCAAGTGTCAAAAGGGCACTGTCTCTTACCATCGACGAAAAATTTTCTCTTTTGCAATAGGATTATCCTCACGCGTGTTCTCGACAAAATTCCTGAAACACCAAAGTTCGACTCTACCGTAAATATTTCAGTAAGTAGAACGAACATGAGAAACACGAGGATAAATTACTGCTCTGTTAACGTGCTGTGCCAGACAAAAAGGTGCGAGTGAATAAATTATAATCGTGAGACAAGTGTGTCTGTGCGCAAGACAAGTATTGTTCAGTGACATGAAGATCCACCGTTTTTGTAGTCTCCTTCTTATTCGTTTCCTCTTTGTTACCATATACTTGTATGTGAAGGGTTGCGCTTACGTATAGAATTTTTTACGTGACAATACAAAACGAGTTAAGAGCTGCAGAAAACTTTGAGAGAAGCGTAGAATATTTGCAGTTTATCGATATTTTTTGTAGGTTTATAAAGTTTGTCGGCTAGAAGAGAGAATTGCCATCGAATGAGATCACTTTCATGGTGCATTTTGGATAAACTTTTACCGGCAGAGATATTTTTAGCGGATAGTCGAAACATAGCTACTGACGGGGAAGGATGTGAACGTGCATGTGTTTGATATAACGTGTTTTCAATTTAGAAAGTGTACGGAAAAAATGAATATATTTATGTTGAGATAAAAATAATAATTGGATGATATATTTGTGAAATTATTTTCTCTTACAGTTATTTTAATGCGCCTGTAATTGGGGAAGTGCCGAAAATGAATTATTCCATTAAGGTAAAAACGCGGTATATGAAAATATATAGAAGCTTTGAATGCACAATTGAGAATGTCCATATATAAGTTTAATACGTCTTTGTGTCCATTTAAAAGGATATAACATCATACTAACATCTGTAATTAGATTCATACATATGTCTTAAATCATTTAATAACATTTTATTTGTCTATTTCTCTTATTTAGTTTCCTATTTTTTTAATATATATTTCTATAATACAATATCTATACATTTTCACTTTATGTTAAAAAAAAGTATATATAAGAAATTCAATTATCAATTATATATTAAGTTGTTACTAAAAAATCCACTAAGTTCTGAGTTCGTAACACCATCATCAATTTTGATTGGCAAGTAGCACAGATATGTAACCTGCTGATGTTTTTAGTAACTGCAACAATTTTTTTAACAGCATAACAAGTATAGAGTGGAAAATTTATTAGTACTAAATAAATTATAATAAATAATGATGATTTTTTAAATAAACTCACGGTAGAAATATATAATATTTATTAAGTTACGATATATTATAGAATGAATATGAAATAATTAAATTTCACAATTAAGAATTCCAAATAACACGAAAAACATAATAATGCATCTCGTTTCATACGTAACTTACGTTGCAAAACGTTGCCATCGTCATGGGAAATGTTTTTCCCGCCGTAATGTAAAGTGGTTTATTTGCTCGAAGCATGATTAACGTTAAGTTTCTTGCAGTCTTAGATTCGATAGTGTACCATGCACATTTATATGTGGCGCGATGTATACTTTCAGACTGAGAAAATAGAATTAATTATATACTACATTCGAATTATATGTCAGAGAAACAATTTTCCGATAAATTTAAATAAAACATTGTTAGTATTTTAAATAACGGTGCTAGTAATTTAAATTATGTTCAAAACAGAGAGAGGAAGAAAGTGAGGGAGAGAGGGGTGAGAGAGAGGAGGAGAGGGGGAGTGGGGGAGAGATAGAGATAGAGAGAAAGAGAGAGAGAGAGAGAGAGGGGGGGGGAAAGAAAGATTGGAT